GTGTGTCCTAAATCTGTGTGTATCCTAAATCTGTGTGTGTATCCTAAATCTGTGTGTGCCCTGAGTGTGTGTGTGTGTGTCCTAAATCTGTGTGTGTGCCCTAAATCTGTGTGTGCCCTGCGTGTGTGTGTGCCCTTGCCAAGCCCCTGCTGACCCGGGGGTGCTGCTCAGGCTCCTGGTGAAGGCAGGGCTGCCCTGGGGCAGGGGCACCCCGGGCTCTGCCTGTGTCTCCTGGCACTGAGGGCTCCCTTCTCTCTCCTGGCAGTGGCATGAGCTGGAGCTGGGGCTGGGCATCTGCTGGGAGCAGCATCCTGGCAGAATTTGGGACCCTGCACCTGGAGTTCCTGCACCTCTCCGAGCTCTCTGGCAACCCAGTGTTTGCAGAAAAGGTGAGAAACCCCAGCCTGGCTTGGCCTCTCCATCCTCCTGGGGAGCTTTGCCCAGCGTGTGGATTTTACCCAGAGAAGGGCACAGCAGAGGTGCAGCCATCCCTCAGCAGCCCCCTCTGAGGGACACAGATTGTCCCAGGCAGAGCCCAGACTGCCCCCAAACTTCCCCCAAGGGAAATGGGGCTGCTCCAGACTGCCACAGTGGGGTAAAACCAAACAGGATTGCCAAAAAACACTCAGAAATTCGGCTTTTCCAGGATGTGTCCAGTGCAGGTCTGTCAGCTGTGAAACAAGGAGGGAATCTGAAGGAGAGACAGGAAAAAAAAAGAGGAGGAAGAAGCTGGGAGAGCGAAGTGGAGCTGGGATGGAGTGGATGGAAAGCAGTGAGGGTGGGATGAGCAATGAGGGTCACAGGGGAGGGAAAAGCAGAGGGTGAAGGGCAACAGGAAAGCCAGGAAACTCTGTGGGAAGATAAGAGAGGCTGGTGATGTGAAATAAAGAGACAAAGCTGAGGTTCCTGAGGACAGGGATAATGAAAAAGTGCTCCCAGGGAGGGGGAGCTGAGGGGAGGCCAGGAAAGGGAGCAGAAAATGTGTGAGGAAATGAAGGGAGGGGAGAAAAGAGGAAACACTGCTGAAAACCAGAATTGCATCCTCACTCTGGGTTCAAACCGTGGCATTTAAACCTCTGTCCCCAGCCTAAGAGATTTTCCTCTTCTCCTCCTGAGCCCGTGGAGGGAAAAGGGCTAAACCTCTCTGATGGACTCTCCTGGGCTGGTGTGTGCACAGAAAATGGATCACAGCCACCCTGACAGCCTCAGAGAGGGAAAATGTGGGATGGTGTGGGCTCTAACAGATCTGTGGGAGATCACTGCAGGGGAGCAGATAACTCAGGAACTCCCAGTCTGGGACTTGGGTGATTTTAGCAGGAATTAAAGCCCATCAGTGTCTTTCATTCAAACCTGTCATTAATGTGCCAAGCTCCTAAACTCCAGTAAATATTATGGAGTCTGACAACTTCCTTGGAAGCACTGGCTTAAGGCTGTAGCCAGCTTTTGGCATGCAAATTTTCTAATTTTGTAAAAGGTTTAGGGCAAATTAGCTGCTCTGTAGGTTATAATAGAATATTTATGCTGCATGGAATTGAACTGGGTCCCTTAAGGGAATGGCCTATTGGATTTAATGGGGGTGAAACCAAGGGAGGCTTTAGAGAGTTAAGTGCTGGCTGTTCTGGGGTATTAAAGGAACTGTCTGTTGTTGAAATTAAAGGCCCCAATTCATCACATTAAGTGACCACATGGTGAATTTAAGTGCTGTGTGAGTCACTCATCCCTGACGCTCCTTTCCCTTTGGATCATGGAAGAAATCACCCCTGGCATCGCTCACATCTCCCATTCCCACCCAGATCCCCAATCGTGGAAGCAGATTTGGGTTTGGAAGGGACCCCAAAGCCCATCCAGTGCCACCCCTGCCATGGGCTGGGACACCTCCCACTGTCCCAGGTGGCTCCAAGCCCTGTCCAGCCTGCCTGGGACACTTCCAGGGATGGGGCAGCACAGCTGCCCTGTGCCAGGGCCTCTCCACCCTCACAGGGAGGAATTTCTCCCCATATCCCATCTAACCCTGGCCTCCTTTACCTTGAGGCCAATCCCCCTTGGCCTGTCACTCCACACCCTTGGGAAAAGTCTCTCTCCAATTCCCTGTAGCCCCCTCAGGTCCTGGAAGGACGAGATCTCCCAGGATGGCTTCTGGCCCATGGCAGTGAGCTGAACTGGGGCTTTGCAGGGTTTCCAGAGCCAGTTCTGAAATCCCACTGGGATAAAGCTTGGGCTGAGCCCTGGAGCATCTCCCTCCCTGAGCTGAGTCCAGGCTGCTGGGCTGGAGCGGGGAGGGGCTGGGGAGGGCTGGGGAGGGAGGGAAGGGCAGCAGAGCATAACCCCAGCCTTGTGTGTGCTCTCCCACAGGTGATGAACATCCGCAGGGTGCTCAGCAGAGTGGAGAAGCCGCAGGGGCTGTACCCCAACTTCCTGAGCCCGGTGACGGGGAGCTGGGTGCAGCGTAGGTATCCCTGCCTCCCTCCTGGCCCTGCAGCAGCAGCCCCTGGCACAGCAGCCTGGCAGCCTGGGCTGAGGAGGCACGCCAGGCTGTGCAGGGAGCGGGGCAGGAGCTGTGCCCTGAGCCCCAGCGAGTGTCCCAGCTCCAGAGAGAGAAGCTGGCTCGTGGCACATCCCACAGGTGCTGGAACCAGCCCAGCCTGGGGGATCCTGCACTCAGCACAGGGAGCTGCAGGGGAAGCACAGAGAGATCCCCCTCCCGAGTGCTGCAGCAAGTCAGGAACCACCTGGAGAGGCAGAGGGCTTGGAGGAGCCCTGGATCCCCCTTGGATCCCCCTTGGATCCAGGGTGAATTCTCCTGTGCATTCCTGTTCCTGTTACCATGGCAGCTCTGCAGAGAGCCATTTGGGAAGGAAGGATGAGATAAGAACGTTTTCTTCTCTCCTGTTGGGAGCCCAGCACTGGAGCAATAATCAGGGAAGGTCTTGGAGAGAGCAGAGGAATTCTGGGGGCACCCAGGGGAAGGTGACACGCAGGGAGGACACTGTGCCCCTCCTCAGAAGTTTGCCCTGTGGTGGGAGCAGGAGATGCCACTTGTGCAGCTGTGCCCTGATCTCTGACCTCCGCTCTCTGCTCTGTTATTGATCTGCTGCTTCTGGCTGCTGGATTTGATGTTGTCAAAGAAAAGTCTCTTTCAGAGACTGGTTTGAACCTGTCAGTGGGTGACAGTTATTATCTAGGCAGGTTACTCTGAGCCTGCATTATCTGGTGTCCCCATGCTTTGTTGCACTTTTTGCTGGGCTGGATCACTCCAGACCTCTCCCACTGCTGCTTTTGTGGCTCTGGTGGCACCAGGCAGGGACAGAGCTCTGGCTGAGACCAATCCCTGACCTTCAGCTGGCAGGGCTGGTCCCAGCCAAGTGTCTGGGATGGTCACAGTCGTCCCATTAAAGCAGAGCTGCCCTTTGGTGCTGGGAGGAAACTCTCATCTCTTCTGCCAGGTATTTAATTCTGTTTTCTGTCTGCAGTTTTCTGTGCATTGCCCTGAACTTGCTGATGTAGAGAGGGGCCTGGTGGTGCTTTCCAGAGCACCTCAAAAGCAGCCTCTGACTGCTGTGTGGGACAGGCAGGGGCCTGCCAAAGGCCTGGAGATTTCCTGACTCCAGACAGACTTTCACTGGCTGGCTGTGGCCCTTGCTCAGGATGTGGCCTTGGGATCTGACTCCACATTCCAGGGAGGGAGAAGAGTGATCAGCCCCTTCTGCATCCCCAGTGCTGCTGGGGAGAAACATGAGGACCAGAGCAGGGAGGCATCTGCAGCCTCTCCTTTTCTCTTGTCATTAGAGCTCTTTGCAGGAAGCTGTTTTCCTTCAAATTGCTGTGATTTTCTTAAAAGGTGCACCTTTGACCTGGCTGAAAGAGCAGATCTCGTCAGTGGAGAGGCTGTGTGCAGCAGGTGTTCAGAGCTGCTCAGGTTTTTGTTTCCCCTCTCCTTGCACACAGATAAAGTCCCGAGGCTTATTCCAAATGCTGAATCCTCCCAGCAGCACAAACCAATAGCCATGCATAATTTTCCTGCCCTGAAGAGCAAACACGCCAGGCACACCGTGTCCAGAGATCCAGGGCAGCTGTTACCTGTGGGAAGTGGCAGCCCAGCCCCTGCTGAAGGCAGGGATTTATTGCTGCAGGGTGCCTGGGAGGCACACGCTGCCAGGGCTGCTGCCATGTGGAAAGCAGCTGTGGAGCAGGGCTGCAGCTTTGGTGGGTTTATCAATGGCACACTCGGGATCACAGGGCTGCTCCTTAAAGGCAGGCTGTGTTTGCAAATCCTCTGCCCCCTCTCCTCGCTCAGCAGCCGCGTGTTTAGTCTCATTGTTTTGCTGCGGATTATTCCCTGGATCGCTGGACACGGTGTGCCTGGCATGTTTGCTCTTCAGGTCAGGAAAACGATGCGTGGCTGTTGGTTTGTGCTGCTGGGAGGATTCAGCATTTGGAATAAGCCTCGGGACTTTATCCGTGTGCAAGGAGAGGGGAAACAAAACTCTGAGCAGCTCTGAACACCTGCTGCATGTGCTTAGCTGGGTGACAGAGCCAGGGGTGGACGCTGCCAATTATCAGGGATGCCTCAGTCCAGGGAGGGCAGTTTGTCTTGCTCTCCTGAAAATGGGAGTGCTGGACTGCTTTAAAGAGTGGGAACGCTGCTGTTCCCCCTGTGGTAGAGTTTGAAGCTGTAAATCCATCCAGCAGCTCCCCCCAGGCACAAACTTGCAGCCGTCAGGCCCATTTCACACTGCAATTCCTCAGCACCTCCTGTGAGGTCAGAGCAGGGGGTGCTCTGAGCAGGCAGCCTCAGAAATTTCATTTCTGCAGAGGAAAACGTGCAGTGCACATCCCTGTGCCTGACTTTATCATTTTAATGTGCCAGCAACCCCCAGCCTTCCCCAGGGCTCAGAGTCCTTCCGTGAGCCAGGAATACAAATGGCAAAACCCAGGAGTGTGTCCTCAGCCCCTTGCTGGCAGCTCTGTGGGATCCAAACACCTCTCCTTCCTTTGCTGAGGCAGGGAGACAGCTCCCAGGGGCTCCATGGAGATGGAAATCTATCAGTACCCACCACTGCTTTTGGATTATGAGGGTGGATTTATGATGATGGCTCCATAAACAGGAAGCATCTTCACGTTGCAGTATAAATAACTTGTAAAATAAGGCCTCTGAATGGTTCTGGTAAGGGATACTAATGCTCTGGGAAATGACAGAACATTTTTCTCCTGATTGCACTTTCCACCTTTCTTCCTCTGTGAAAAGCAGTGCTGCAAGCTCTCCCCAGGAAGCTGGGAAGAGGAAGGAGAGAACAAGGGCATTAAATAGGACATGATTGTTTCCCCCCTGTAAGGCAGCTGCTCACTGTGTATCACCAAGCTGAAGCTCTTTCCTGCCTTCCCCACCACAGACCACGTCTCCATCGGGGGGCTCGGGGACAGCTTTTATGAATATCTCCTCAAGTCCTGGCTGATGTCAGACAAGAAGGACTCTGAAGCTAAAAAGATGTACGACGATGCCTTGGAGGTGAGGAGCCACGTGCTGCTCTGCGGGGTTTGGGGGGGGACATGGTTCATGAGAAGGTTTCAGCCTTCAGAGTCAGTCTGGGTTTCCTTGGTACTCACTCCTGTCACTGACTAACACTGAGTAAATGTTACTGTCCACTCTCTGAGATCCTGATTTTCATCCCTTTAGGCAATAGAAAAGCATTTGGTGAAAAAATCTGCAGGAGGCTTGACCTACATCGCCGAGTGGAGGGGTGGCATCCTGGATCACAAGATGGGCCACTTGGCCTGCTTCTCTGGGGGCATGATTGCCCTGGGCGCCGAGCACAGCGCGGGGGACAGGAGGCAGAGGCACCTGGAGCTGGCAGCAGAGATCACCAGCACCTGCCACGAGTCCTACGCACGCTCAGGTGACCGGGGGCACTGCCTGGCAGGGGGGTCTGTGCCTCAGCAGCACCTGCAGCCCTGCTGGGCTTTCCCTGGGCTTTCCTGGCACGTGTGCAAGGGACAGAAATGTGCTTTGTGCAGCAGGGGCAGCTGAGAAGCCCAGCAGGGCACTGCTGGAGACCTGCAGCTGCTGTGGGAACCAGGAAAATGGAGTTACTGAGCCTCTCCAACTCTCTGGTCCTCATTTCACAAGCTCAGGACAGTTTCTTTCACCACCCAAACTGTGGAGAGCAGTGAGTGGAGATGAGTGAGGGTCTGGCTTGGCTCTCTGCCTGCAGGAGCTGCCTTGGACACCCCTCCTTTCTTTGTAGGCATCTGTGCAGCTCCTGTGATCTGCATGCAGCCAGGACCTTGTCAGGCACGGGTCTGTCCCCAGCTGCACCCAGGGATTGTCCCACACCTTCCCCACACCAGCCAGCCCAGTTTGGTGCCCAGCACGTTTGCCCAACAAACTCCAAGCTAACCTGAAATGATGCTTGCAAATGACTCTTTTCCCCCCTGCAGCACTTACAGAACTAAACCAAGGTATCTGAACTGAAAGGGTGTGAGTGCCTGGAGCCAACTTGCACCACCAGCACAGAGAGGACAGCACAGGCTGCTGCAGGGAGAGGCTGTGCACAGCCCCCAGCCCCAGCCACACACAGCAGGGCCAGGGGAGCTGTGCAGGGTAATTAGAGGAGATAATGACTCCCTGGAGCACAGCACTGGGGCAGACACTCCCAGAGGAGCCTTGTGGCATGAGCACAGAAATATGGAGTGGTTTGGGCTGGAAGGCACCTTAAATTCCATCCCAACCCACCCCTGCCATGGCAGGGACACCTCCCACTGTTCAGCCTGGCCTTGGGCACTGCCAGGGATCCAGGGGCAGCCACAGCTGCTCTGGGCACCCTCATGAACACATTTTTTTCCAGCAGGGAGAGGGTTGGTGTTGAAAGCAGAGATCTGAGTGCTGGATAGTGCTTGCAAGGGACTGGGACTCTTAGCCACAGACCCGCAGACTCCTGATGTTCTGTTTATAAAACCAGTGCAGTTGGTTTTCTCATCACGCCGATCCCTTCTCTCCAAAGGCACTGCAGAAGAAAAGGCTCAGCAAAGCCTTAGCTAAACCCTGGCACCCTGAGCAGCCCGAAAGCAGCTGGGGGTGTCGCTGCTGGGGCTGCCTGGCAGTGAGAGCCGTGTGTGTGTGCTTCTCCCCAGACACCAAGCTGGGCCCCGAGGCGTTTCGCTTCGACGCGGGCAGCGAGGCCACGGCCACGCGCCTCAGCGAGCGCTATTACATCCTGCGGCCCGAGGTGGTGGAGAGCTACATGTACCTCTGGAGGCTCACCCACCAGCCCAAGTACCGCCACTGGGGCTGGGAGGTGGTGCAGGTGAGGCTGCACGGGGCGCCGAGCTCGGCGGGGCGCTGCGTGCTGGGAACGTCTTCCCTGCGGTGGGGGAAGGAGCAGAAATTGGGTTAAACGCTGGGATGGGTCAGAAATGCCCAAGGTTCTGTGGGGCTCTGGGAAGCTTGGTCTAGTGGAAGGTGACCCCAGGGGGGTGGAACTGGGTGATTTTAAAGGTTCATTTCAACCCAAATTCTTCTCAAAACCCATGAGCAGTGGGGCAGGAATACACATTTTGGGAACATCTTCCCTTCGGTGGGCGGAAGGAGTGGAAATTATTGAAATTGGGTTAAATGCTGAGATAGGTCACAAATGCCCAAGGCTGGGTTCTGTGGGGCTCTGGGAAGCTTGGTCTAGTGGAAGGTGGCCCTGTCCATGGCAGGGGGGTGGAACTGGGTGATTTTAAAGGTTCATTTCAACCCAAATTCTTCTCAAACCCATGAGCAGTGGGGCAGGAATACACAAAGTGCCTCAGCTCAGAGCGTTATCTGCACTGTGGATGTTTGCTTCTCCCCTGTGGGCTGCACTGCCATCAGTCTGTCAGCCAGCTGGAATTTCCCTTGCTGTCCCATCAGGGCCAGGCTGCTTCCCAGAGCGTGGAGTAACCCCTGAGTGCGGCACACGAAATCAGGGCTTGGACTTGTAAACTGCAGGAATGATGACCAGATTTGTAAATGGGTTTGGAATGCAGCTGCTGGGCTGCAGGGGTTACCCCGCACTGCTGGGGGTGGCTGAGGGCTCTGTTCCTCCCCAGGCCCTGGAGAAGCACTGCAGGGTGGAAGCTGGCTTCTCTGGCATCCGAGACGTGTACAGCACCACGCCCATCCACGACAACATGCAGCAGAGCTTCTTCCTCGCAGAGACGCTGAAGTAAGGCCGGGCTCACCGGGCCCTTCCAGAGCAGCACAGCTCCTGCAGCAGCTGCTCAGTGAGCCCCAGATGATGAGGGGCAAGTCTTCTCTTCCAGGGGCACGTGGGCAGGGGGCTGGAACCAGAGGAGCTTTCAGGATCTTTCCAAGTCCACCCATTTCCTGCTGCAGAACCTCTGCTGCCCATGGCTCCCTGGAGGCTCAGGGGCTGGGTTTGAAGGGTCCTGCTTAGGTGGGAAGGGTGGGGGTTTTCCAGGGAGGTGGGAACGTGTCCCATCCTGCTGAGCTCCTGTAACCCGGGTGTGCCTGTCCTGTGCTGCAGGTACCTCTATCTTCTGTTCTGTGAAGATGACGTGCTGTCCCTGGAGGATTGGGTGTTCAACACCGAGGCTCACCCCCTGCCCATCAACCACACGGACTTCAAAGCAGCAGGGCAGCCCTGAGCCCCCTGCCCGGCTCCTGCCCCCCCAGCCTGGGCAGCCTCTGCTTTTCCTTGCCATTGAAGGAATTCCTGTTGTTCCTGAAATGGTGTTTTGGGGCACTAGTCCAATTCCGGACAGTATTTTCTTGGGAAGATGAACCATGACTAAGCACCTTCTTTTCCTCTGTGAGGAGCTCTATTAGGCTGATGAAGAGATGTTTATTCTGGGCCATACTGTACACAGTTCATAGACATTCCTTTATACAGAGAATTTATATGGAATCACTGATTTTGCTTTATAGTGGCCAAAGGACTGGAAGTTCGCCATAAAATGGACTTTACACACACACGAACACACACATCCTCCTTTCCTTTCTCTGGTTCATTTCTGCCTTTCATCTGCTCTTGGATTTATCACCTTTCCAGTGAACAGTTCTCAGAGTTCTGGGCTTTCTGGTGCTGGGCTTTGGGGGCTCTTCATTTGTCCTTGGTGTGGGAGAGCAGCTGGAATTCTCGGGGGTGGCTGAGGAGCCCACTGAGAGCTCAGGAGTGAAGAGGGGACAGGGAAAGGTGATGTTTTAATGGGAAAATAAGAGGATCAGACCCTCCACAGACAGGAGCAGCCTCAGGTTGCAATTTGCAGATCTCAGGGGGCCACTTGAACCATCCTGATCCCTGCTGGAGGGGTAACTCAGCAGGACAGGAGCAATCCAGGAGGCTCCCAGAGTGGATTGGTGATGAATTCCTCCTCCAAGGGAGACAACAGAGGAGCTCTGCTGAGCCCAAAAGGAGATCCAAGGCTGCAGTGGCCATGGGTGGTGAGTTCAGGATGCTGAGGGCAGGAGGGAGGGGGTAAAGCTCCACCCTGGGCTGCAGCAGAGCACACCTGGAGCTCTGCAGAGGGACAGGTGACACAGCCCTGGGGCCCTGGTGGCCCTGCCTGAGCAGGGACTAGGACAGGGGCACCCCAGAGGTCCCCTCCAGCCTCAGCCATTCTGGGACTCCGTGGTGTCACAGCTGTAACTAAACCAAAACTTGGCTGCAAAATCCTTGCTCCTGATGTATTTTTATATACTTCTTTCCATGCTCTTAAAACCATCACATCTCATTTAATTTTCTTTTTTTTTTTTTTTTTTTTTTTTTTTTTTTTTTTTTTTTTTTTTTTTTTTTTTTTTTTTTTTTTTTTTTATTTTTTTTTTCTTTTTTTATTTGGAGCTAAATGTTATGAGTCACTTGTAATAATTTTACTGCTGTAATAGTCAGATCTGTGAAACAGAATAAAAGTCTTGTAAAATAAGATCTGCTGGGCTTGATCCTGTAAAAGACCAGTCACACCATGCTTGGAACGAGACAATGCTGGTGGATTTAAAGAGTTTCGTGCAATAGAAGTTGATTTCTAGGGGAATCTAGGCAGTGTTTGATAGCAATTCCCAGCTCTCTTAAACTGCTGGATCTGGGATCAGCATTCCCTCTGATCACTGCAAAGCTCTGTGGCCCTGGGGGATGGAACACTTTTGTTCATTCTTGTGACATCCTTATGACAATTGGTTCATTCAGCAACTTGGAGGAAAATAAAGTTGCTTTGAGCAAGTTGTGAAAACAGAAAATGTTGTTTCTAAATTCCTGCCTTTGTAATTCCCCGAGAGAAATAAGATTGTCAGAAGGGGACTTAGCATTATCCCAGGGATAAAGCTGCTGCCTGCTAAGCCTGGCCTAGAGGAACGGGTATTGGTAAATAAACATCTTGGGAGTGAGCTGTGTTATCCGGAGATTTGGGATCGGGAAGCTCTTGGAGCTCAAAGGATTTTGATAATGGATTAAGGGAATTTCTTAAATAAGAATGACCTGCTCTTGGAGTGACATGGAGCACTCTGCCTGGCAGAATTTAAACCCCCAGAACAAGCAGTGTGGCTCAGGTTTCCTTTGGGAACAGATCCAGGGCTGGTTTCCATTTCACACGGGTGTGTGGGAGCAGCCCACACCCTCCCAGAGGAAGTTTCCTGCAGCTCGGTGGCCACAGCACGAGCCAGGAGGGGTTTGAGCTGCCCTGGAGAGGCAGAGCTCACCATAGCTCTGCTCCCAGGAGCCCCACACCAGGCACAGCAGAAGGTTTGGGTTGCAAGCTGGAACATTTCAGTGATGCCAAGGCAACTCTGCAGATTCCTCTGCCTGGGCTCCCAGAGATGCCCTGAAATCCCCAGGGATTAATCACAGGCAGCGAGCTCAGCCTGGCTGTGTTTAGCAGGAGCCAGGATTTACTCCCAGGATCAGCTTTGTTCCAGGGCCTGGCCTTGATCCACACCAGGGATTTTTCTCTCCCACAGCAATGCAGGTGATGGGAATGTTTGTCCTGCTGCTGCTGCCTTGAAATGTTTCTGCTGCTCCCTTCCCCGCGCCTTGGCTGGATCTCCTGCACCCTGCCTGGGGGAGCAGGGCTGGATCCCACCCCAGGTTCCTCCTGCCAGGTGGGATTTTCCTGCCCAGAGGGAAGCCCTTGCTTTCCAGACTTGGAGCAGGTGAGTAAATGGAGTTACACTGAACCAGAGGTTTGGCTGCCAATGCCCCATGGAAAGGATCTGGGGAGATGTGTGTCCTGCAGCTGCTTTCCTGCCTTCCACTCTCAGGTATGTGGCAATTCTGTTGCTTTTTGGTCTTTTCTTCCTGCTTGGAGTCACCAGCCTGGGTTATTGCCCATTTCCCCTGGAACATTCCACTTCTACTTCAGAAGCTGTCATTACCATCTTAATTTTCACCATCAGAGCTTGTGGCCCTCCTTTATATCAGAAAGAATTTCCTGCAAATGAAGTTCTGATAACAGAAAGCTGCATCAATGGTGGAGGTGAAAACTCTTCCCTGTCACTTGTACAACCACAGGCTGCTGTTGCCTGGCCTGCTCAGAGATAAGACCAAACCACCCAAAAAACAAATGCACCTCTTTGTGACCCACACTTCATTTTTCCAGAATTATTAAATCCCCTGGGAAGGCTTTCAGCAGAATTGGCTGTTGGATCCAAAAGCCTGGCAGGCAGGGTATTTTTCCAGGTGGGTTTTGATGTGATCCCTGTTTGATTGTTTGGGATGTGATGCAGCAGCCCAGGGCCAGCAGGGTCCCAGCAGCTCCTCCTGAGCACAGCTGGGGTTTGGCTCTGCCCCCGTTCCCTGCAGGGATCATTGGAGTCAGGAACCCATCCCATGGACTCTGCTTGTGAAGGGTTTGGGTTTGGGTTTGGGTCTGGGTCTGGGTTTGGGTCTGGGTCTGGGTCTGGGTTTGGGTCTGGGTCTGGATCTGGGTCTGGTTCTGGGTTTGGGTGGCTCCTCCTGAGGAGGAAAGGCCAAGGAGGAGCTGGGAATGCCAGACACAGGAAGTGGCTCCTGCTCTGCAGCTGAAGGCTTTGCTTTGAAATGCCTCAAACTCCCATTTCCTTTGCAGGCCATGCTTTTTCTGGGATGAACTCTCTGATTTCCACAGCTGTGGAGCTTTATCACCTCTGGTTTTCTTCTCCCTTCAAACCAGACCTGGATTCTTTTTCCTCCCAAGTTTTTCACCCCTGCTGCTGCCAACCCCTCACCATTTTCCTTATTTTCAGCCCAACTTTCTCCCTTCTGAACAAGGGGAAATCTGGGATAGTTTTTCCTGCTGGGTGGAAATCTTGCCTGTTATTATTTTTAGGATTCCCTTTGATCCAGGTGTGCCTGGGTAGGCCCCACAGCAGATGTGTGGATATTTAACATTCTTCCTGAGTGCTGTAATCCCAGGACCCAGCAGTGGAGAGCCAGGTTGGGTTCTCTTCCAAGGAGCAGCAGCCACCCTAAATTATTTCACTTTTGTCTTTCATTCTCTTTCCCATCAAATAATTCCCCCATTTCTCATCTTTATGAGGTGGCTGATGACACTGGAAATGGTTCAGGTGTAAAATGAGTCCCTGTGCCACTCATCATCCAAACAGAATCACCCCATCTCTCCACCACCCTGCCAGGTCCCCTCCTGCTCATTTCCCAGACAAACCAGGACGTTTATCCTGTTCCAAACCCATCCCATCCCATTACTCTGTGCTGGGTTATTCCAGGGAAGCAGCAGCTCTGCCCCCCTCGCTGCCCAGCCCAAGGAGCCCGGCAGGTTTTACAGCACATCTGCTCCAGGTGCTGAGCTCATCCCTGCTGAACTCCCAGACCTGTCCCTGCTCCCAGAGTCATTTCCATACTCTGCTAACCCCAAAGCCATGATCGGGTTCTTCATGGGGCACAGTTCCATGGAAGTTTGCTGCAGAAGGAACTTTCTTCTTCCTCCCTCAGTGCAACAACCCTGGCGTGAATCCCAAATATCCCCCTGGTTCCACTGCTGGGCTCACCTGCCTGGTCCCATCCTCATCCTCCCTCCTCCACCCTTAATGGCTTGGTCATGCTCTCGCTCATCTCCATCTCGAGAGTTCTTTAAACCTAAAACAAAAAAGATTAGGCAGGCTTAGGATGCAGCAGAGCTTCAAAGGATTAAATGCTGATGCTCCCTCGGAGAGATCAAACGCTCAGTGCTGCTGGCCCTGCAGCAGAAAGGGGGAACTGGAGCAGGAGGATGAGGTGTGGGGAGGGTTAAAAATTAATTTGTGTGTCTTGGCCCAGCCACTGCTGAGGGACAATGTGACAGCAGTGGCCGGCCGTGAAGGGACACTGAAAACATGGGAGGTGGAAAATCTTGGGGTTGAAATGGCCCAAAATGTGGCACGGTGGTAAAAATGACCCAAAATGTGGGGATGATGCTGGAGAAAGGAGGCTGAGGCCGAGCACCATCACCCCAGGGCTGCTAAATCATTCCCATCCCCTAATTCCCATCCCTAGGGCTCAAACCTCAGCGGAATCACTGCAAGTGACCCCACCAATACCGGTTTTGTTAAAAAATACCCATTTTGGTCAGCTATAACCAAGTAGAAGTGCAGGACATGGCTGGTTTGGGGAAGTGCAGAAGTTCAGGGGATTGTTCTTTCTGGGAAAAGCTGAATTAAGGACAAAATGCCACCGTGGGAATGTGGGGATGGACACACACCCCTGTCCCATGGAAAATAAAGACAAAATCCTTGGAGACCAGAGGACGAGGGTGTTCATCCCTCCAAGAGCCCTCACAGTGGACACATTTCAGCCCAAAAAGCGCTTTTTTCCTGAGCGACTGCCGCTCATTCAACATTAAAACGTGGCTTTACCCTGACAAGTACCGCCCATTTAACACTAAAAAGAGCTTTTCCCTAACCAGGCGATTTAACACTAAAACATACCTTTTCCTTAGCGGGTGCCGGTCATTTAAAACAATATTTTCCCTGACTGACCGACGGTCGTTTGACACATCACGTTTTTCCCTGGGGCCGGTGATTTAACCCCACAAGGATCCTTTCTTTGACTGTGATTTAACCCCACAAAGATACTTTCTCTGGGGGCGATTTAACCCCACAGAGATCCTTTTTCTGGCAGTGATTTAACCTCACAAATTTCCTTTCTCTGGGGGCGATTTAACCCCACNAGAGATCCTTTTTCTGGCAGTGATTTAACCTCACAAATTTCCTTTCTCTGGGGGCGATTTAACCCCACAGAGATCCTTTTTCTGGCAGTGATTTACCCTCACAAATTTCCTTTCTCTGAGGGCAATTTAACCCCACAGAGATCCTTTTTCTGGCAGTGATTTAACCTCACAAATTTCCTTTCTCTGGGGGCGATTTAACCCCACAGAGATCCTTTCTCTGGAGGCGATTTAACCCCACAGAGATCCTTTTTCTGGGGGTGATTTAACCCCACAGAGATCCTTTCTCTGAGGGCGATTTAACCCCACAAATTTCCTTTCTCTGGGGGCGATTTAACCCCACAGAGATCCTTTCTCTGAGGGCGATTTAACCCCACAAATTTCCTTTCTGTGAGGGCGATTTAACCCCACAGAGATCCTTTCTCTGGGGGCGATTTAACCCCACAGAGATCCTTCCATGGCGCCGATTTAACCCCACAGAGATCCTTTCTCTGAGGGCGATTTAACCCCACAGAGATCCTTTCTCTGGCGCCGATTTAACCTCACAGAGATCCGAGATCCTTTCTCTGAGGGCGATTTAACCCCACAGAGATCCTTCCCTGGCGCCGATTTAACCCCACAGAGATCCTTCCCTGGCGGTGATTTATCTTCCCCTGGCGGTGGTTTAACCCCCCG